ACCGGGATGCGCCCTCACAATCAAAAGAACTTGAAGAGGCCAAGAGACAAGGGGCCAATGAGGAAAGTTGAGCTGTGTCAAAAGAAACTGTGTATACAGGGTGTATGCGGAATAGAGGATGGTGAATTGGTCATCTAGGTCGCCTTTTGGGTATGGTCTGGATTATGCGCAGTCCTCCATGATTTGACGAAGGCGAGACAGGTTGATGATGATCGCTAGATGCTACCTCTCGTGCAAGTTATTTTGAGATGTTTAGTATTAGCCGAGGCATTGGGATAAGGACTGGTGGCAACAAAAGAAGACTAGGCGTGATGTGCGGTTGACAAAGGTTTTGTAGCAACTTGAAGTAGTAGAACTTGGCTAGTGTGAATAAGGTTGTTGAAAGTGAACAAAACAGGGACTAGTCAGGACTTAGCAAGGATGAGCAAGTAAACAGTTTTTGAGTTACCTTTTTGGATGAGCTACCTTGAAAAGTGTCTGCAAGATAAGGGTTGACAAGAAACATTGGTATGAGACGCTGGGGCGGTTGTGGTATGGATCCTGGGAAGTCAAAAAATGTATTTTGAAAAGAGACTATGAATTTGGATTGTTGAGCAAGGCAAGGCATTGAGTGTCAGCCAAGTATATGAGAGGTTATGAAACCTATGGGTAGAGGGGCAAGAAGATGTCCCTCCCCTAGGAACCTAATCCAACCAAGTCAAAATCGTGTCGCAAGAGACCAAGTTGTGAGAGTAAGCAAGAGTGAAAATGACAGAAGGGCCCCACGTTGGGATCTACGGTTGAACGGTCGGGTGGGCTAGCGCTGCCTGAGGTTGAGAGCCTCAACTTGAGTGCTAGACGCTAAGTCGGGTATACGCAGCAAATTGTATTGAGAAAGGATGAAAGATATTGCACGCAGAAAACTGTATGAGATGGCCACCTTCTAACCCCCTCGTAGTGAAAGATGGGATCCGTGTCCTCGAGGCCCACCCCCTCAGCCGCTAACATTGGAATGGAAAAGGACGACCCTAGCAAGGTTGTTCGACGTGAGATAAAAAAGAATGACCCTAACCAGGTTGTTCAACTTGAGATAGAAAAGAATGACCCTAACCAGGTTATTAGACTTGAAATAGAAAAGGGTGGCCCATGACAAGGGTCACCCAGAGAATTGGCACTGGGTCCTCTTTGTAGCGGACCCACCAGGTGTGGTGCTCCACTAGTGATAGAGATGAAGACGGAGGAAGAAGGGGGGAAGCAAGATGCACAGCGCAGATCCCCACGCAAGACTCCAACGCACGTACTCCAAAATGTGCAAGTCTAGAATGAGGACGAAAATAGACAACTGCTGGGGTATACCCCAGCGGACTGATGGGACTGGACTAGACTGGCTGGTACCGACAGAGGTACCGGCCTGGACTGGACTTGACTGCCCCCGAATAGAACACAGGCCTGTGAGAACAGGCCAAGGGGCTGGTCTCACAGGCCAACCAGAGGTCCGCTACACGATCCTCGACCTGTGATGGATCGCCTAGATGCAAACACGCTTCCGCCAAGAAGCGGAACTCTACCAAAGAAAAGAAAACCTGAGTAGTCTAGGATGCGGAGCAAGCTCCATGCTGAGTCCATGCGATGCAACCTAGGATAGAAAATGTCACAAAACAGCAATGTCACAGCTAACAGCCTAAGTGAAAGCAAAAGCAACTAACTAGCATACATGTCCTAGGAAAGCAGAAGCAACTAACTAGCATGCATGTCCTAGGAAAGCAGAAAGTAGTGACAACTACATCCTAGAATGTTGGAGGCAATAGCCTCAGTCTAAGAACAACTGACTAGTGTATAAGTCCTAAGAACAACAAAGATAGAACAGCTAAATCCTAGAAATGTTAGAGGCAGTAGCCTCAGTCTAAGAGCAACAAAGCAACAACAAGTCAACCATATGTCACAGGAGAGGGGTGCCGCAAACCAAAGGGTGGGATGGTCTCTGAGGGTGGCGAATGCAGCCTAAGGGTCAAAAACTCCTAAGGGCATCCACACATAGTGACAGGGGGAACACATGTCATCAGGCTCAATGAGGGTAGGGAACTGGGAGCGAACAGAACCAATGACCCTAACAGATAGACCATCAGGGCGGGTAAAGCTCGACTAAGGGGTGACCGCTATGGAGGGTCGACCATGCAAGGGAACAAGGGAGCCTGGTATACTGGGCGCACCTAGATGAAGCATGCGGGGCTGCCTAACTAGGG